TTGGACTCGGAAATATCTTTCCATCCTTTCTATCCATTTGTACGCTTCATCCTCGTAAAATAGAGGTAATTTCTCCGTTTTTGAATTAGCTGAGTTCCGAGAAACTGCTTTAGAAGAAGATAGCAAACTGTGAGAATCATTTGGTGAAGAAGAAGATTCTCCTCTCAATCGTGTCTTCCTAGAGTGCGAACTGAGGTCCGTTAAGATAGTCTGATGCGAAGAGCGAAGATAAGAATGGTGAGAAGAACTCTGCGAAGAGCTATGTGAAGAGCTTGGCGAAGAAACAGTTCGATCGCCAGATTTTCTGCGATGCCTCCGCTCTTCTGAGTCCTCTGGACTCGCTGACCTTCGCGTATGATGAAGATGAGATTCCCGATGCGATGCGTTTGACGCATGCGATCTGTATCTCGACTGTGAACAGTGACGTGTAGTTTGCGATTGCGAGCCAAGAGAAGTAGTTCGCGAATCCGACTGCGAACTTGTGAGCGACTGCGACGAAGAACGATGTCTAGGGTTCCTCGCTCGAAGTTCGCTGTTGCCATGCTCTCCGTGATCGGAATTTCTTGTGTGTACCTGGTGCGAAGTATGGTGCGACCTATGTGAGGGGTGCGATCTGCTCTGCGAGAGATTCTGGACTCTCTTGTCCAGTTTCTTGATTGTCGCCTGAATTTCTGCCAAAGTCTCCGTAGTTTTCTTCTGTTTTCTCTCAAGTTCGTTCAATCTTAAATCCATTTGCGCACAGTAATCAACGAGCTCTGATACCAATGTTAGAGATATCCAGAAATTCAATAAAATCACATAAAGAGATCAAGAACAACTTTGCAGTCTTTATTGATTAAGAACAAGAAACTATGACCGAAGCCCCCAATTGACCGAAGTCCCAAAGAAAGAGATAGAATCTCAGTCTTCCCAAGTCCCAAGACACCAGTCTAAAAAACAGCCTCCTGACTTTTCCCAGCTTATTCTATTTATACTACTCTAGTTATTACTCTTCTTATTTACTCTCATTCTACCGAGTCCCTAACAGACTTCAGAAAGTTTGGAGAATAAATGTGAGTTTTTTAGATATGTTAAATGTTTTGATTGGTGTGAACACACACCCGACTTTTTCAAATTACAAGTCGGATATGTTAAATGTTTTATAAATGTTTAGATGTGTTAAATGTTTTATAAATTACAAGTCCGGATTTTTTATAAATGTTTAGATATGTTAAATGTTTTTTCACTCCAGTATGCATTTGTCTAGATTTCAGAGCCCATCATTATTTATTGTTCAAGGTTATAGTGAGAAAAGTATATTAGTCGCATGTCCTTCTATTTATATATTAAAAGTATACACATCAGGAAGTATTTCCCTAGTTACATTATCACCAATTATGTACCCAGACATACCTTGCTACCCAACAAACTGAGTCAATATTCAATACACAAAAGCCTTATTATGATGTAAACATGAAGTTATCATTGAGATTTTTTCAAATGGAAATTTAGCTATGCTATTTTCACTTTCTTAATAATCAAGTTAAATCTTCTTGCAAGATTTTCGCCTAGCTCGTAGGGGGGCTTGATCAACTACAACAGAGCATTGCCCTTGCAAAATGACCACACATTCTTGTTAGTATTGCAGTTTCTGTATTAAATGTTTACACCTTGAAATCAGGACTACGATAGTGAATCATAGGGCCTATTTCTTGAAGTGTGAGTTGTACTGAACTATGAATAGTAAGATACATGATCAAGTATGACCATACTACACATATATTTACGTGTATTTTCGCGTGGATATACATTTAAAACAAAATAAAAGTATTTGAAATCAAACAAGAGCACATATCTTATATAGTTATAGCAACCACATTACTTTTAAGTTTGAGCCATGGCAGACTGCCAAGATTAGAACAGAGTGACAACATGATGTGATTTTCAAACCACTCAATGGATATACTCAACCCATTTGGTTTCTAACGAGCTGAATTGTTTTCTTTAAGATCATCTGTCAAATACCAAAGGATTTTCTCTCCGTGCCTTGAAGTTTTTGGTACTCTGTTTCTCTCTTTTTTTGAGTTAATTGGAGTTCTGATTACCTATATATTCTCTTATGGGACTACCGGGCCTTTCTTTAATGAAGGTGTTGGATGAGGCAGATAGACTACTGAATGAGGATTTTGAAAAAGCACTTGATGATATTCTGGATAATATTCCCCGTGAGAGGAGGACTTATTTGTTTTCTGCCACCATGACCAAAAAGGTTTGTACTAAACTTTTATTGCAAGTAAGAAAACCTGTTACCTCTACAAAAGTTGTTCATCCAGATGGTGCCAATGCAAAAATGGTTTTATTATGTTGCTCAAGACATTTAGTTGTAGCTGGTATGATTTGTAATTTGTATGGCATTAAATATTTTAGTGCCTAAGTTTGTCTTTTGGATTTGTAGATAGCATGATACCTATAAAGTTTTGTGCCAATAACAACCTGAACTCATCGCCGTCCAGATATCATGATACCTATAAAGTTTTGTGCCAATATTGAACGAAAACTACATTCTTTTCATCGTTATTTATGAAAAAAAAGTATAAATGCGTTACTTGAAAAAGTATAAATGCGTTACTTCATTATAGAGCATTAGTAGGAATGACTATCACACAAGTCTATATCTATTGTTTTTTAAAAACACACAAGACACCATATTTCCAGTTTGTTCACTTTATTACTTATGGCTAATTTTTTCTGAGCTTATGTGCTACAATGAAGACATGTGTGGAGAGTTGATGAAGGAATGAGATATTATGTGTTGATAAACATATCATTCTGCGTTGTGCAGGTGGGTAAACTTAAGAGGGCTTGTCTAAGGAATCCTGTAAAGGTGAGATGAGTAGATGACTATTTTCTTTGCAACAAGTGTTGGCTACCTTTGCTCATAATTTTTGACTCCTTCACGTTTAATTTCAGATTGAGGCGGCCTCAAAGTATTCGACAGTTGATACTTTAAAACAGCAGTATTGCTTTTTTCCTGCAAAATTTAAGGTTTGCAACTCCCAATGCTGCAATGTGTTTTTGAATGCTCTATACTAAACTCGTTAAGTGTCCCGCATCGAATGTTTGCCGATGTGTGTGATGACACACATCCATAAATTAGTGTGATGAATCTCATTTAGACAATTTAACAAACACCTAATGCCCTTTCTTTTTCTCTAGCAATCAACAACTCCAACAGCCAAAGGTCTAAGGCCCTAAAAATATAATTCTATAAACCGACAAAAAAGAGGTAAATGATCAAAGCATCCATATATTAGTCAATGATCAAAGCATCCATTAATTAGTCAGGTGTAGTGAATCTCGTTTAGACAATTTAACAAACACCTAATGCCCTTTCTTTACCTCTAGAATCAACAACTCCAAGAGCCAAAAGCGTAAACATAGAATTCAACAAACTGGGAGATATAAGTATAATAGAATTCAAGAGTACACATAAATACTTTGTCAAATCCAAGAACAAAGACTTCATGAACAAGGACTTCAAAGCACAGGCAGAAAGAAAGGCGGTACAAACTCAAACATGGACAGAAGACATACCGGGAAAGTGAGTGCAGGTGGCGAAAATCCTCTGCCAATTGAATAAGATGCATTTATAGGGCCATGGGAGGGAAGGATCGAGGTTGGGCGCGCCAATTGGAATTCCATAACCCGCACTGCAGAGGAGAGGATCGATTTGCAATTACAAGGAGATAAATGCGAGATTAATGAATACTCACCTGCGAGGAAGGTAAAGGGATGAGCGTCGTAAACATGCGCGACCCAAGAGCGCGAATCGAGATGGAGCAAGAGACTGCGTGTGCGGCTCAGCGTATGCGGCTAAAGTTGGGCCGATGGGAATCACAAACGGAAGGGTAATAACGGAGGTAGCATTTAAGGCAGACAAATTGAAAAGTTTACCAACATTTAAGCATAATGTACATGTCAACACAGCTTATAGGACTACCAACAAAAAATCTATACCCAATACAAGTCAACCTTCATTCACCTTTATTAGTTTGTAGAGAAATGTATTTCATGTTTTAAATTTTTCTCAATTCTCCATTGTACTACATATTTCAAAAAAAAAATTAATTTTTTTATGTCCAACAAATCTTTACTTAATATTTAAACAACAAAAAAATTAAATAGCTTGGGTCCGGCCTGACCCGGTACCCGGCCGGGTAAGCCCGACCCGGACTCGGTAGCTACCTGGGCCGGTTCCGAGCCTAACATTTCAAAATAAAAAGCCCGCTTGGGCCCGACCTGGTACCCGGACCGGACCGGACCCGGTCCATCCCTAACAGGTCCACCCGTAGATAGTAGTAGGTCAAAGTTATGCTTTGCATACCACAATTATGTTGCGAGGCAAAGAACCTCTATATTAGGTCGAAACCGGGCTTTTTTGTTGGGGGTTAAGGCCCGAAACCGGCCCAAGATTTTACCAGGACCGGACCGGGTCAAGCAGCGGCTTTTTTTTTTGCTTTTCTAATTAATTCCTACCCCCCCCCCCCCACCCCCACCCCACACCCCAAACCCCTCCAAAACACCCAGCCTAACCCGCCTACCACCCAAAGACTTTGAAAACAAAACAAAAAAAACTAGCCGTGCTGGACCGGTTCCAAAGAACCCTGCAGCCCGATCCCGCCCCCAAAACACCCCTGGGTCAGGTCCTAGACCTGGGCCCAATACCAGGCAACCGGGCCGGTCCCGCACAGTGGCGGGCCGGGTAGACCGGAACCGGTCCATGCCTGCTCTATCCGAGCCTTGCTCAAATTTCAAACGTGAGACCCGATTTTTTATTTTTTGAAACCGAAATCTTGTACTACTTATATAGCTGTCCATTTCGGTCTCCAACTAGATAGAACCAGTACCTTATTTAGTTTTGATACTCCGTTGAGTGGTTATGATTCTAGGACCACCCGTTCCCATTTGGAACCGAAACCAGGTCCACCCTTCTTAAACGAATAATCATATTCTGAAAGGAATAGCATAAGCATATTCATCTAATATAATCTGAACGCGTAAAAATGTAAGAGACGACCTTTCGCAAACCCTCAGGTTCATGGTTAGGTCAATTTATCAAGGATCGGAAGGTTTTACAAAAGTTCCTACTGGCATACATCAGAGTTCTTAAATAAGAGTGTTGAAAAGGAGCATTAGCAGCCTAAAACATAAAAAGAACTATCTTCCATCAACTTGTTCCCCTACTTGTCCTGGCTGAAGCCTTGCCCTATAGCCGCTTGGCTTAGCACACCTCAGTATCAAATTTCAGGGATAACCCCATACTGAAGAGCTCCTGACACAACAGCTTAGCTCCATAAGGCACATTCACCTTCACAATGTCCTCCACGGTTTCACAGAACCTGCAATAGGGTCCCCTAATCTTACGGCCACCAAGAACAGGGCGTTGAATCACGTTTGCCACGTTTTTGCACTTCCTGCATATGTGCATCTGGGAAGAATCACTGAGCGTGAAGAGCCGTTCATGCAGGTTAGCAGCGGCCCCGTGGGCGATGAGGCAGTCTCGTTCCATCTCCCCGAATTTGATCCCTCCAAATCGTTTCCTGTCGGCCACGGGCTGCCGGGTAAGGGGATGGACTGGCCCAGTGTTCCGAAACTTCACTTTATCCTCTGCCATGTGCGTAAGCCGTTGGTAGAATGTTGGGCCCATGAAAACCAAGGAATGGATCATTTCGCCGGTTCTCCCATTGTACACTCTCTCAGTTCCCCATTTTGAGAACCCAAGACTGAAAAACCAACCATATATAAGTCTAACCATGAATCCACAAAACCTATCCTCTTTTTAGTCCCACGACTTTCTTTTTTATCAACAATCACTTGTCCCGAAAAAATCAACGAAATATCTAAAAGTGAAAGTGAAAGTCCAGGGCTAAAAGTGAAAGTCCAGCACATAGTCATTGGACTCATGAGACCAGATTTAAAATAAATTCTATTCACAATCAGTACAATTAGCCAAGAAGGCGGGTAGTATAGGGACTACAGGAGAGGAGTGCATATGTTTTACTAATACATTATCACTGTTGCAAGTGTGATTACACTATTCCAGCACATAAGAAATATCTCCTTAGTTAATAAACACTGAACTCCCTCCGGTCCTAAATAAATTTCTCTTTTTCCTTTTTGGACGGGTCGAAAATAAAGTTGTCACTTATATTTTTGGCAAGTTTTTAATATAAAGTTACCATTATACCTTTACTTTATTTACCTACTTTACACTCAATTTCACTCTCCCATTACACCTAATCTACTTTTTGTAAGGTATAATGAGAAAGTCAAAAGCAAAAATTCCACTTTCTTAAAAACTGTAAAGTCAAACTACAAACTTTATTTGGGACCAAAGAGCACTCATCTTTTACACCAATTCCCAAATGTATTTCCTTCCAACCAACAAATGTAGAGAGTAAATAATACACCCTCCTCCGTCTCACAAAAGTTGACCAAATTTGACTTGCAAGTGGAATAATAAAATAAAATCTGTGTGATTGAAATCCATGCAGAGGAGAGAAATAACTCTAACCACATGCAGAGTATTTATTACTTTAACTGAAAATGGCAAAGATTTTTGGGACGTTCAATAGATATCATCACTCTCCTCCAAAATATACTACTTTAACTGAAAATTGACTTGCATTTCCCATTCCTCCAAGATCTTTGAAGATGTCAAACTGTGAATGTGTTGTCTAAATATATACTACCTCCGTCCCATAAAATTCTTCCCGCTTTGACTTGGCACGGAGATTAAGAAAGTGGAATAAAGTGGAAATGTATGGTTGTGGTTGTGTAAGAAAAGGTGAAAAAAATGTGAACCACACAAATTGTCCAAAAATGGTGAGTGGGAAGAATTTTTTGGGACGGCCCAAAAAGGAAAGTGAGAAGAATTTTATGGGACGGAGGGAGTACTACGTATTTTTTTGAAGGAAAAAAATTATACTCCCTCAGGTCCTAAATAAACTTCACACTTTCCTTTTTGGGTAGGTCCAAAATAAACTTCACACTTCTTCTCCCTTCCTTATTTGGCAAATTATCTACATCAAAACAGTGCAAAACAGTGCCAAACGGTAAAGTCAAATTTATTTCCTTAATTTGTGTGAAGTCAAAGTGTGATGTTTATTTAGGACCGGAGGGAGTATCATTTAAGAAAATATATTCATGCAAAAGAAACTGGCAATTTTTTTCTGGAGGAATAGGAAACGCAATTACAATAACATTTATCATCACATGTTTTTTAACTTTTCTTACTTGCGCACATAATATCATGAAGCAAATATCAATACATACTTCATGTCCCATTGTAAAATCTATATTTTAACATCACCATACACATCATGGAAAATATCAGTACAAGCAGGTATGGATGTTTCAAAGGAATAAATCAAGAAAGATAAATTGGTTTCATTCCATGTTAACCCTTATTCACCTAACTTAATTATATGAGTTAAGAAAGACATAACAGTTAATTAGAGGGGATAAGTGATTTCATATAAATCTTACTTTGAATAATGCTGCATTTAGTAATATTTCAACTCATGCGCAATGCTGAAGTGTGATACTTATTCAGATATGAAAAAAAGGCAAAGAGTTCTTCGCTTAGAGCCACTCATTTTACCTATGAAGGTTCTTTGTTATTTCATCAACAGAGGGAGTGGAGAATGGAGTTGCATATTTAAGATCTGATCGATGGCCAATGTGCTTTCCCAACGCAATGACCTTTCCCAAGGCCGCTTCTAGAAGTTGGCCTGGTGTTTGACGTGAAGGGAATGCGTGTGGGTTTATAACTATGTCAGGAACTACCCCTTGCACTGTGAAGGGGAAGTTCTCCTGAGATTCAAGAAAACCCAGAACACCCTTTTGCCCATGCATACTGGAAAACTTGTCTCCAAGACAAGGAGAACGTACCTGCACATAGAAGAGTTGACATCATTACAATATGAAGGAAGGTTAGTGTATTTTCTAGGAAGATGTTTTAATTTTTATGGGGAAGTGGGAGGGCAGGGGTTATTGTGTATTTCTGAACTATGAGAATTTAATATGGTTTAAGGTATAAAAAATGATGACTAGCACAACAAGTTTACACTAATTTTTCATTTTATATCACTTTCGAAAAAGAATTATCATACAGTAATATTTTCATAAAATGAAAAATTAACCCTCCCTTACCTTTCCATCCAGGGCACTCCTCACATCCACACCCTCAGTTTTGAAGGCATCAATGACGTAGAATGCTAGCTCAGTATTAATAGTACAGTTCAACTATTGTAAATTCAGTTTTAAACGTCATTGATGTCACATAACAAGAGACCATAGAGCCAAATGCAAGAGTGAGCTAGACCATTGCCAACAGTAAGTTGTGATCAAGAGAGTACTGTAAGGGTCTTTTTGGATGGAGGGGATTTGAAGGCTTTCCAAGGCTTAGTATATATATCTTGATAAATAGAATGTTTTAAAATCAGCTAAATGATGACTCAAATGCTATACAATCACATAATTATATTATTCCTTCAACTTCTAAGAGATAGATTTAGCCCTCAAAGCCTCTCTAAAAATAACCCATCTAAACTGATCTTGAGCAAGGTTAACATAAATCTACTGTCTTAATTAGAGGTGTTCTTTCAGCAAGTATTCCTATTTTTATCTGAGTTAAAAATATCTCAAGAAAATTGCTTCGCGTGTTTCCTTCGATAATTTTCTGACCATTTAACCACTACCTAAACAGCACTGCTACATAATGAAACCACTATCCTCTTTCTTCAGTCTCAAAGGCATACCTGTCTCAAAGACACAACAGCGAAATTTTTTCCATCATCGTTTGCAGAAAGCATAACCTTTTGAACCATGCCTCTTTCCGTATGCTTCAGTTTCACACTGTGATCAGCCCCTGACTCTGCATATTTCCCAATGACAATATCACCACTCTGAAGGTTAGCACCGACGAATGGGAAACCATCATCATCCAGACAGTCAACACGTCCTATCTTACTTTGAGTCTTTCCAAAAATCACTGCATCTTCAAGTTTCATCTTTTTTCCTGATCCATCCTTACTCTCAGTTTCTGCCTTGTAACTCCTAATATGCTCCGACCTAAACATACCACGCTCTAGTGAAGCACGATTCATCACTAAAGAGTCCTCTTGGTTGTAACCAAGGTGAACATTGACTGCCACAATTGCACATTGCCCGTTGTAGTATTCGGGCCGTGGAAGCATCGATTTGTGATAGTGGGAATCTTTAGGCTTTCCAAGAGAATCAGACAGCATGGTACGAAAAAGAGGCCTTTGCGGATAATACATTTGATGGGTATTAGTATCTACTCTAATGTTTGGGTTTAGAGTGGAGAAACCAATGGCTTGCTGACTATGCTTCTCAGACTGGTATAAAACCCTCCTTGCGTGGTCATGGTTTGCAAAAGGGATAATCCCACAGCTCAAACCCAACAGGAATGACAAGTCAAGCTCGCAGTGTGTATACTTTGCAGGTGGATCCTCCTTGCTGGCTTCCAAGAGATGGTCAACTCCCCAAGCAGTTCGGCAGTCTTCTTCCTCTTCGGCACCAATGAATTCAACTATCCCACTGTTCAGAAAAGACTGAAAGGACTCTCCATCTTTCAGAGACTGAATCTTCTTCAGATTTTCAACAACAAGAAGTGGGCGTAGGATTCGCCCAGCATCAGAAAATATACGCACTTCCTTCTGCTGTTCATCTCGTTTGATTTCAACCTAGAACAGAAAAATCAGATCATGCAAGTCAGGATACACAGATATGCATGTGTGTTTCTGTGTTAGTATCTGTGTGATTCCATTTCAAAATATAAGCAAGTAATTTTTTAAATGGGCATTAAATATCTACATTCTACTACCTCCGTCTCATTACAAGGGTTCTTTGACCAAGGTACACCTTTTTAATTTTATTAAGGCACAACTATTTGAAATCATCAATTCTACTTCTAGTTTAAAAATGTTGTTCCAACTAAAACCAAAAAATGTTCAAATATAATTAGCTTCATTTGTTTAGAGAAAATTAGCTTTGCTTGCTCAAAGATAACTCTTTTTGGGCAAGGAGAGTACAAAGGTTTTCCAAATATATAAGAAAATCTTCCCAAATATATGAGCAAAAAGGGGCGCTTTCCCTAAACAGGTGGGTTCCACTGCCATAATATGGCACTATCAGAAATTAAAAAGGTGGGTGGCAGTGTGCTTTCAGACAGCAGTACTTACTCCTATTTAGGGAAAATACCTCGTTTTTAGTCCTATTTAGGGAAACTTCTTAACTACATAATTATTTATCCGATGACCTGAACTGGGAGTTCACCCCTCCGCCGCATACGCCTTAGTTTTAAGACAAAATATACAGAATCTTCACACACTCCAACCCAATCTCCATCAAGAAATATTTTGTGCTTTCGTTGGAGTATTGTTGAAGTATCATCTACTACTGGCTCCATTCCACATTCAAATAGTTTATCGAGAAACGGTTCCAGAATTGTCATGCTGACAAGACCCAAACTGGCCAAATTTTTAACCAGTCCACAGTTTTCTCCATCTGGGGTAGAGAGAAAGCAAAGTTTTCCCCAATGTGATGGATGCCTGCGCAGTAATTATATTTAAATCTTATCAATTAAGTAGAGGAGCAAAAATCCCTTTAAATTAAAAGCATTGTACCACAGAAAGAGTTTCATATAATTATAAGTTAGATATCGAAGATAATCATTAGCAAAGGATGTAGAGCAAATGAGTAATTTGACTAATTTCTGATTCAATGCAGTTGTGTGATTTCAACTTCAATTACTATGAGATTCTCTCCGCTTCCTAAAACACAACACTGAAATAAAATGGACATAACTTTTCATTAGTCTCTTCTGATTAAAAAAATCCCCATCCAAAAACAGTGTCTAGATCAAGCCAAGTATGTTAATTTAGTTAAACCAATAAAATGAATCCAAGAAATAGCTAGAAGTGTAGAAGTGGTGATATCCAAAAGTTGTACCTTGATAAAGCAAGACTCTTTTTAGGGCAGAGGTACTAGAACAAAGTAATCAATAAAAGAGAAGTGCAAAATCATCGAAAAGACTCCTTTCATGAACAGTACTTACGGGTATCTAGCATCACCAACTTTCCCTGTGTACGACACTTGCTGACGTGTTTTCCTCATATCAGCCGTCATTTGCAATGGGTTAGTTCGTCTAAGGTTTGCCACAACACCAGATAGCCTCTCCATTCTTTTATACGGGTGTGACCATGCCCCAGTGGAGAATGCCCTCGATAGACCATTAGAGACTATCGATGCATCGAGATAGTGTTCAATCGGTTGCAACTGCCTATCTCCATAGAGATCTCTTTGCATTGCTTTGGTCATACGCCTCACAGCATGTTTAAGATGCACTCTCAGCTCTCGCTCGAGCAGCTCACTAGCAAGTTCCACCCTCTTGTTCCTAAAATCATCTCTATTGTCCACTTTTCTACGACCAGTATAAGCCTGAAAGAGACACTTCACCATATATCCAAGAAAGCGGGCCTTCTTCTTAAAAGTGTTGAGATTAGGGAACAGGAAGTTGTTTATGCAGTCTTCGACAGATTCTTGAGGAGGGTATTTACAGCTCTTCATAAGATCAGAGACATAGCTAAGAGCTACTGCCTGCTTTCTGAAGGACTCACACTTATTATCAGCATCATGGATGGAAGCAACAATTATGTTCACAATTGCAGCATCCTCCACATCCACATTACACAAGTTGACCACCTCTTTGTCGGAGGACACACCAAGTGCAAAGAAGAATATCCAGATGGGCATTTCTGTCACGGAAAAATACACATTCAGGACTTTTTCTCCTCCACTCACCACATTCTCAACTTTTGGGGAGTCTATCAACTTTATGTACACTCTTTTCCTCTTGGAAACTGGCCGATATGAAACCATCCAATTTGGAGTATTAGCTACCCAAAGTCTTTTTAAGCATATTTGCTCCTGAGCAATGAAAGTCTGCAGGAAATGAAAGAAAAGTGTTCACCAATATGTGAACTATGAAACCAATCTCTAACAATTGAACACATATATTAAGATTGAACTTCCTACATAAAGTCTTTCACCAATTTTTTAAAACAGGAAAAAAGTGATTGGCTTAACTAAATAACTTTATTGATGATGGAAGTTTAGCTTACAGCTTACCAACATATTAAATGATAAATACTCAAGTAAGATTTAATGTCCTCCGATATGAAATAGAAAGCCTCTATCCCTTTTACTTCACTTCTTCCGGTTTTCATCTCCAGTTTCCCGGCATGGAACAAGTTTATTAATCGTCATTTATTCATTTACCATTTCCATGAAACCGGAAAAATCATTATTTTACAATATGGATTTGTGACTAACCACCTCACAACCGACCACCACATGTGATTGCAGGTGACTGCAGTGCCCAGTGGCGGGAGGCTGCAATTACTGCAGTGGCTGACAGTGAGAATGCCCCACACATAAGGTTTTCCAAATTTGAAAGAATATAGGAATGTTGGAGAAATGTTTTATATTTTCACAATTTCACCTATAAAATATTGAAGAGAAAGTGTGTTGTTTATTAACATTTTCAGGAAACCCGGTTTCCCAAAGGAAAAAGGCTGAGGAAAAGACAGTCTATTTGGTAAATGTACCTGCAAGTCGGCAAAGTTATGTGCATCATGCTAAACTGTATGAATGACAATGTACTGAAAGTGGTAAAGAAAAGAAAATGAAAATCTAGGCACCTTTTCGGCCCCTTTTACGATGAAGTATCCACCGTGATCATATCCACAATCCGGCTTCTTGTTTCCTTTACTCATCCAGCAAAGGTCAGAGTTCACCATCACGGGTATACTCCCAATTACGACTCCAGGCATAGTTTCATCCGACAGGCATTCATCTTCGACATACTGCTCTACTCCAGTTTTAAACTTGTCACTCCGGACTCGTTTTTTAGTGTACACCTAAAAACGTTCCATGCACAACAGGCAATAGATGATATTAGATTTCAACAATACTAAAATAAGGTGGACAGGAAGATTATTAATATAAAGAAGAAACATGTTGCTAAAAAGGACGTAACAAGCCACCTAAAAAGGCTCCATAAAGGTTATATGATACAAAAGTCACGAGAAATGTTTATCCAGGAACAAATTTATATTTGCAGTTGATGGGCAACTCTCAGATAATGGCAACAACAACAACGACAAAAATAAATTCAAACACTGCATTATGCCACCTTAGGGTAAGAGTATTTCCCTTACTTCTCACACTCTAGCATTAGCAGAGCATCAAATACATGAGCAGGAGCACAATAAAAGGTCAGCAGATTTCATGCTGACCAAAATGACTGAAATGAATTGAATAAAATGGCCATAAATCTTAGAGTAGCAACATGAGTTATATTTTATGTTTGATTGATGTGCACAATATTATATCATAACTCATTTCGCTATGTCTTTAGAGGTTTCCATAATAGAACAACAACATCATCATCTAAACCTTAGTCTCAAAAGAGTTTAGGATCGGCTAACATGAATGAACATATAAAATCGGAGCTAAGATAAAAGGATAAGATAAAGATAAAAATGATACGATCATCATTTTCATTTCATTTTCATTTACCCCAGTGCCGCAAAGGCTCCCACCTACGGTGGAGTAAGGGGGGATCGGATGTACGCGGTCTTACCTCTGTACTAAAGCACAGAGAGACTGTTTCCGGATGACCCATAGTGAAAATCCCGTCCAAAATTGCATGGACTGACTGCTGCTTCATAACAAAGAAGCGCAGGCAGTTTAGTGAGCCATTTTGCTTTATTCCATCATAATCTCAAGTCAAAAAATAATGAATCTTTGGTTCCATTGCAAATGATGGAAAAACGATACGATAAAAGAATAAAAGATAAGATAAAAAAGATACAAAGGTAAAGATATAAGAAAGATAAAAAAGGTGAAAGAAAGATAAAAAACAGTAAAAAAAAGGATATGTTAATGAAAAAAGATAAATAAGTTTCCATAGACCATAATAGTTAATGAAAATAAACCAATTAGAAAAACTACAAACCTTAACACGAGCATGAACTGTTATCCTAGCAGCATATGTCATGAACTGAAGGCGGGCATGTCGGGGCAACAACTGCAGAGATTCTTCTTCGCCATCTTGAGAGAATTTTTCTCCAACCCAGTAAGTTGGTGGAATGAGGGTCGGCTTTTCAAACTTTATTGATGCATACCTCCACTCATTATCACCCTTCTTGGATGGATCATACCCAGGCTCAACTGTGATTTCCCCAATCGATTCAAAAACTCTCTGGATCCCATGTTTGACGAAGTCGTTGTAAGAATTGATCTGGTGACTGATCACACCAAACTTGTCAAAGAATGAAGTGGATACTTTTTTGCAAAAATCAACCAATTTCTTTTTGTTTAAATTCATTTCGTGTAGAGCAGCTGCATCAAGAGGCTCATCAAATTCATCATCATCCTCATCAAATTCAAGATCTGCAAACTCTATATCCATCGGTTCTGATCCATTTGATTTCTCTTTTCTACTGCTAGTCCCTGGGCCATCGCTCATATTGCTGGCAGTCATACAAACACACATCAGAATTTGTAAGATAAAATTCCAAACATCTGGATACAAAAGAAACATGTAAAGTACCGCATGCAACGAATAGAAAATTAATCACCTTCCATTCAATTGCATATAAAGGGAATGCTAGTCACTGAACTCTCATCGAAAATTAAACGATCCAAATTTCAGACACAATAAACACGCACCCAAGGTTGAATTGGAGCCTCCACATTTGATAACGTAAAATCTCTTGAATGAAAAATTGTAAAAAAAGGTTTAGAGTCCAATAGTTCACTCACCAATTACTAGCTTAGAAGACGCACACACAATCTTTTGAGTAGGAGAGGTTAAATCCCTCAACTACAAGACACTCATCTGCTCTACATTTTAAAATATAAGAATATCTACCAAAAAGTCTTGAGCATAGTATGTATAACACAACGGTTATTAATTATTAGTTTATTACCTATTAAAATGTAAGCTGACACTAAATTCAACAATAGCCAGGGAACGCAAAAGCTTAGGGCATGTTTACTAATAGAGATATTTTCCGGTTTTCCAGAAAACTGGAAAACTGGAAAACAGAAAACAGGAAACGTGTTTACCAAAGAAAATTGTTGGAAAACTAGAGAAAGGAAAACAGAAAATGATAGGAATTATTAATAAGTGGGCCTATTATAGATATTAATAAGTGGGCCTGTGATTTTAATAGAAGGAAGAGGGTTATGGGCTATAAATAGTTGGGAAAATTAACTAATGAGGGAGGCTGTGATTGAATTGGCATTTTGGCTTAGGAGAGTAGGCTTCTCGAACAGTCCTAGCTTTTGTATACGTATTGCGTTTAGCTCAATATCAATAAACACCTTCGATCGTTACTCCATATTTCTCATCGATCTATATTGTTTGCTGTTATATTACCTGTGATCTATCATTCCTATCATTGGTATCAGAGCAGTGGGGCGGTGATCGTTGGCAGTAGCGACATCACCGTATTTGCCCAATTTCATCGTTCGGATAGTGAATGGTTCAAACAAGAGGAAAAATGGAGCAACGTCTGGAAGCAGTTGAACGCAGTCGAACTACCATGGAGGAAGCACTGTTGCGGATGGAAACGATGATGCAGAACATGTCAGGAAGGATCGACACGATGAGCGAGGACCACCATCACCGAGGGAGATCGCGATCTCACCATAGTCATCACTCGCGTCCATCGCCCAGTCCAGCGGTCTCAAGAGGTAACTCTGCTCATTCGAACCCTGCTATTCACAGACGACATGATGAGTATAATAGATTCCCAGTTCATACGGGTCGTAAGGTGGATTTACCATTGTTCAATGGTGATGGGGCTTATAATTGGCTAGTAAGGATGGAGAGGTACTTTAGACTGAATTATATTGCTGAGGAGGATAAGTTGGAAGTCTCGGTAGTGGCTATGGAAGACAGGGCTCTGAATTGGTTCCAGTGGTGGGAACTTCAGACCGAGGAGAAGAACTGGGAATCACTTAAGGAATCTATTATTCGTAGATTCCAACCTGACTTGTTACAGAATCCATACGGACCGATGTTGAGTTTGAAGCAGACTGGAACAGTTGAAGCATACAGGGATGAATTTGAGATGATCATTGCTCCACAGAAGAATGTTGACCGAGAAATACTAAGGGGGGTATTTCTCGCTGGATTAAAGCCAGAAGTCAAAGCCGAATTGAAACTGCATCAATCCAGGTCACTAGCTGAAGTAATGGATATGGCTTTACTGGTTGAGAAGAGGAATGAAGCAGTATCTGTTAAGAGACAGGAGGATGAGAGATTGGGTGGAAGGGATAAAGAGTCAGTTTATGCTAAACCTCCCAGGTGGGGAGAAGGTTTCAGAACAAGAGCGGGTAGTTCAGGGGTTCAAAATCAGAACAAAACTAACCAGACTTGGTTTAACTCAGCAGGGAATAAGGAGACTGAAATTCATTCTTCAGGGATAAAAAGGGTTGGACCTCAGCTATCACAGGATGAATACCAAGAGAGAAGTAGGAAGGGGCTTTGCTTTAAGTGTGGAGAGAAGTGGAATAAAGAGCATTCCTGCAAGCTGAAGCATTATAAAATGATGCTTGTAGAAGATTCAGATGCTGAGGAGGAATCTGAAAGGATAGATCCTGAAATTACAGAAGAAGAAATTGTAATGGAGTCCAAATCCATGCAATTGTCACCCATGAGTAAGGAGGGGATACCTACCATGAGAGCCTTCAAAATTAAAGGAATTATGAAGTGGGATAGAGGGGTAAAACAAGTGGAAGTGCTGATTGATAGTGGGGCCACTCACAACTTCATTTCTAAGAAACTGGTGGATGAATTGGAGCTGCCTTTTAAAACCATTTCAGGATACAAAGTGCAGGTTGGTAATGGAGAAAAGCTATCTAATGATGGAAGATGTGAAGATTTGACTTTATGTATGCAGGGTTCAATCATAAAACAAAACTTTTACTTTCTGACTTTGGAAGAAACTGACTTGGTTTTGGGAATGGAGTGGCTGACTACTTTTGGAGATGTGGAAATAAACTTTCGGAAACAAAGTATAAAATGGAAGATTCAGGGGTTAGATCAGCAGATTCAAGGGGACCCACACTTGAGCTCCATGGAGATATCACTGAAAAACATGACTCCGGTGGTGCAGGTGGTGCAGGACACTGGTGATGGTTATTGTATGTTTTATGAAGGGCAATCTGTGCAGGTAAAGAGTGTTGCTTGTGCTGGAAGTCAGGATAAAGTTCTGGAGGTTGACAACACTGTAATATTTCTGGGGGCTTTGGCAAAATCAGGGGTGCAAGATGATCCAAAGTATATTGCAATTGAAGAATCCAGGTTCACGCAATCTGATTCCAGGTTGGGGGTGAGAGTAAAGGAAAGTGCAGGAAGGATGGGGAAGAAAATCTTGAGAACTGGGTTCGGAACTTACCAACTGTGGAAGTTTTACATTGAAGGTAGGAATTCTGGTTCCATACCAAAGATAACAGCTGCTGAAATATCAGGTTCTGGATTGAGCTGGGCAAATGAGTTTGATTTTGTATATCAGTTGGGTGGACTCGATATAGAACTGGATTCTACGTTTCAGACGGTTGTGATTGCTATCTCACAGATAGGGCACCTCGTGGATCTACCTTTAAAACAAGGAAGTGAGAAGGGAATCACAGCTGCTAGAAATTGGTGGGGTGAACTGAACATTCATAGTGAAATTATGCAGCAAATAACCGGGAACCATAGCTCTCTTCATTGGCAATCTAAACAGGAGGTTGGGAAGGACCCAACAGTGTCAGTACACCTGCTCATTCTGGCGGTGGTAGAGGTCAAGGGGAAGGCCCAAGTGCTGAAGCTAAAGATCCAGAATGCTTTGTGGTACTGGGTAGGGAGAGGGGCTCGGATGAAGATGAAGTTGATAATCAAGGCTGACTCCTATCACCCACCTTGAGGACAAGGTGGTTGTTTAGGGGGGGGAGTAATGATAGGAATTATTAATAAGTGGGCCTATTATAGATATTAATAAGTGGGCCTGTGATTTTAATAGAAGGAAGAGGGTTAGGGGCTATAAATAGTTGGGAAAATTAACTAATGAGGGAGGCTGTGATTGAATTGGCATTTTGGCTTAGGAGAGTAGGCTTCTCGAACAGTCCTAGCTTTTGTATACGTATTGCGTTTAGCTCAATATCAATAAACACCTTCGATCGTTACTCCATATTTCTCATCGATCTATATTGTTTGCTGTTATATTACCTGTGATCTATCATTCCTATCAGAAAAACACGTTTACCAAACCGTTTTCCAAAACGAAAAAAATGAGACATGTCTCTCTTTTTCTTAATGATTTAGAGAAGTGACTTTTACTAGTTTTCCAAATTTGGAAAATGCAGATGCTACAGGTCACTGCAATGAATTTGCATACTTACACCTAGTGGTGGGTCCGGTACCGCTCCGATGTCGATTCCATTCTAGTACCTCCATCTTCATACCTTACCCCTTACCCCTACCCTACCCTACCCAACCCCCAACCCGCATACCCTTTTTCCCTACAATGACCCTACCCCCACCCTCTACCACATGCCCCTACATCGGTCCCACCCCGACCCACCCTACCCTACCCACACCTCGTATATTACCCCTTACCCCTACCTTACCCTTTTCCCACATGCCCCCTACCTCGGCCCCACCCTACCGCTACCCCCATCACACCCTACTGCCATCCTACCCCCCACCACCATCCTACCCCCACCCACCCTACTGCCATCCTACCCCCACCCACCCTACTGCCATCCTACCCCCACCACCATCCTACCCCCACCCTACCTCTTCCCCTACCTCGGCCCCACCCTACCACCATCCTATCCCAACTCCCTACCCTACCCCTACCCTACCCCTACCTTACCCCAACCCCAACCCCACTCACTACCCCCACCCTAACCCACCCACTACCCCACCCAACTCGTACCCCTAGACCTTACTACCCCACCCACACCCACACCCACCCATACCTTCCTTCCCTACCCCGACCCTTACGAGTATGTATGGGTGGGTATGAAGGGTTTTAGGGGAGTATGGGTAGAGTGTAAGATCGTGGTAATGGTAGGGGTAGGGGTCAAGGGTGTGGAATTGGGTGTAGGGTGGGGGTACGAGGTATAGGGGCAGGGTAGTGTTAGGAGTATGGGTACATGTACGAGGTGATCGACCCCACATATTATATTATATATTTGTGTTCATGAATGTTTGTGTGTGTTATTTTGGACATTTTAATGTTAAACGGTGTTTTAAACCTTTTGAAGTAAACTTGAAGTGAACATGTTTTCAGATTTGAAAATGGAAAACTAGAAAATAGAAATAGAAAAGTGGAGATAGAAAAATTGAAAAATAAAAACAGAAAATTGGAGAACGAAAAAAAGAAGTAGGAAAATATCAAGGTGGCGGGAAGACCACTAAAACAGTCACTGGTTAAAGAATCAACTATTTTACATTCACTCTTAACTGAAAAAAAAAAAATAAAGTCAAAATTGATTTTTCTCCTGAAAACCCCACAAAATGATTTCATATACAAATCCACACCCCAAAAAACCATGATTAACCCTGATACCCAAATGTTCAAACTTGTTATGTTGTTCTCAGGGAAAAGGCAATTGCAATTTGCAACCAAATGACCAATAGATTTCCAGCTATTTTCCGATTTTCCAGATATTCTGAGTTGAAGACACTGTTGTGCAGCTACATTTCTATAAAATAAAGAAGAAAACAACTCCACGGGAAAATGTATAGGAAACAGAAAGGCTCTGGGGAAGCTCAGGGAACAATCCAAACCCATGCAAACACATATACATAAATGAAGAGATAAAAATCCATAGAATTATAGGAAGAAACCTACACTGGACTTCAGTTATCTGCAACCCACGTCAATGGAAATGTTTAGGGTTTATCTCAAAGCTCCGCCTCGCGATTAGCAAAAGTGAAATGGAATGCACTGGAAGAATTTTCGGGTTTTTTTTTACCTCCTGCATTTCATATTGTGCACGGGAGAGTGGAGACCAAGGGAGCTGTCTTGTTCCTGACGAGAGTGAAATAGAAAAAAAAAAAACGCTTTTATCAAAAAAAATTGGTGGAAAAGTGGAGAAAGGAAAACACCAAATTGCGGTTATCAAATCATTTTCGAAACAAAAAAATGAGATATATCTTTGGTTTCCTTAATCAATTGGAGAAATGACTATTACTAATTTCCCAAATTTGGAAAACGCGGATGGTGCAATGTCTTTTTAATGAATTTGCATACTTACGTCTAGAGTTGGTTCCGATCCCGCTCCGATGTCAGTTCCAGTATCATCTTGTTAACGACTCAATGGTCTATATCTGGTCCGGTAAACGACTCGGCGGTCCATGTCCGGTCCGTTTGGCAGCCGAGCAATCTCGGTCCAATCCAGTCGATGACCCGACGGTCCCTGTTCGGTCTGATCCACGACCTAGCAGCCCCTATCCGGTCTGGTGCACGACCTGGCGATCCTTGTTTGATCTGGTCGATGACTCGACGGTCCCTGTCCAGCCCAATCCAGACCAGGTTGTACTTGTTCGGTTTGATCGACGGTCGGGCAGTCCCAGTCCGATCCGGTTTAGCCAACGACTCAGTGGTCCCCGTTCGGTTCGGTAAATGACCCGATGGACCCCGTCCTGTCCGGTCAACCACCTGGCGGTCCTCGTCATGTTCGATCACGACCCGACGGTCCCCATCCTGCATGGCAAATGACCCGGCGACGGGTTGTGTTAGGTCCGGTTCGATCGACAACCGGGCCGATCAAATACCTGGCGGTTCAATCTCGATTTTTCGAAATCATTTTTAAAAGTGAAAGGTTTTAAAAGAGCCGTTGAGTTGTCAACAATAGGGAAATGGGAAAGAATTCATCAACTAACTCTTGATGTCGATCGGGATTGGCTGGTTTCGGTCCCAGCTTTCCTATATGTACCCTACTTGAGTTGTACTACGTTCAGTTGCGAACTGGGATCGTACTTTCGGTCTTTTGGTCGGTCACGAAACCGGGTGAAAAAATTGTATTAACATGTTTTTCAGATTTGAAAATGGAAAACTAAAGAGTGAAAACAAAAAATTAGAGATAAAAAACTGGGAAATGAAAACAGAAAACAAAAATAGAAAACTGTAAAATATCCTTGTTAGTAAACAGGCCCTTACGTTCTCGGCGCACCAGAATTATTACTCACTTCGTCCCATTTAAAGGTTCTCCGGTCAACGTGCATTGTTCTTAATCTTTTACTTTATATATTCAACTTTTATCAAATTTAATTTTCTTGATCAGGTATTATAAAAAATTTAATGTAGTTTCTGAATATGTAAATTTTATTATTTTAAAATTAATCCTATTTAGGGGTGTTCATTAATCGGGTCGGACCATAATTTAGACCTGAACGGGACCGGATTGTACCGGTCCTTTCGGTCTTTAGAATATTAAGATTCCGGGTTCCGGTCCGGTCCGGGTCAAACCCGAAAAAACACATGGCCGGGCTCCTGGTGTTGGGTGTGTTTCGGAAAAACGAGGAAATATTAATTAAATAAAATTAATTAATAAACAAAATAGCTAAAAGAAAACAGAAAATAAGATGGAGCAGATTTTAGCTAGAGCTCGTGCTACGCACGATGTCCTTAAAACGTATTCGTCGCCTCCCACAGTGCTAGGAGCGTTGCAACGACCGTTTCCCAGGATACGGTGGCTAACGAACGATCGTTTGAGCACACAAACGAAAGTTCCGGCGAACTGGAACACAGTAAGAACACTTAGGAAATTTGAGAGTAGCTGGTAGTGTTTTCGCTCAAGAAAACGTGAGGAATGTATTGTGTGTTTTCAAACCGTGTGTCTGTTGCAAAGCACGTGCCAGCTATTTATAGGAGGATTTGTTGTGTGTTAAATTGGGATGTTAATGGACCTGAACGTTGGACATCAATGACCAGTCCGTTGGACATTGAATCGTCCATAAACTGTCCATTTAACGCAGCATTAAAAGAGAAGAACGTTGGGCATTAATTGTTGTAACGGACCAGAAGACCTTCTGTTGCGAACAGAAGGCCTCGAGCGTCTCTGTTGCGAACAGAAGGCCTCAAGGGTCTCTGTTGCGAACAGAAGACCTCGAGCATCTCTGTTCCGAACAGAAGACCCCAAGGGTTTCTGTTCCGGACAGAACTCGAGCATCTCTGTTCCGGACAGAACTCCACCCCTTCTGTCACTAGGAAAAATAAAACGTTACGGGAAGAAACAAAAATTAGACCGCAGGTCGCCCGCGCACACGAATCGCGGTTTTTCTTCTCCGTTTCGGGATTTGATCGGCACCCCCCCCCCCCCCACGCGCGTAAGAGAGAGTCTTTACCCTTAGGAATCTTAACTCCTTAAAAGAGACTTCCCTTTATAAGGGGGTGAAAATCCCTTGAGTTTTTCGGTGTGGGATAAAACACACTAGAAACTCATCATTTTCCCAGTTTTTCCATTTCAACGAGTGAACTTCGAGAATCAAATTCTCATTCAGTCGTTATCCGTTTTGAGTGTACCACATATCGAATTGTAGCCCTTAACAGGGACAATCCGAAACCACTTTGACCCGACCCAAATCGGAAGTGGACACCACTCAAATAATTGCCCCAAAATGACCATTTAATGCAATTTTTAACACATTTTTCCAACAATCCCCCACATGAATGAAAATTGATTTCCGAGACTTAAAAGACACGAAGATAGGAGGACACGTTGTGTTCACCGGATGATCCTTGCATGCGGAGAGGTAGGTTTTATCCTTTGAACCTTCCGTTGTAAAGACACGTTTATTTACTGGCTATCTAGTAGACTCGATGTCCTTGAACTATACTGCTGTCGTGTAAACATTGACTTATCTTTACACAAGAACCTTCCAACTTTGTTCCGTTCTCATGGGTGTGCCCGTTTTGGCCATGGTTCACCGTCCTGGTTCTGCAAGAGTTTCTAAAGAACTGAGCCTTTACAGTTCTCCTTTGAAGCGGCCCTCTTCTCTCTCACATAGGTGATTCTTTCACGAGTATCCCGCATACTCTTCCAATGTTATCGAGTAGATCAACATTTTAGAATCATTAAAGCAAACGTTTTTGCTAACCTCGTGCGGGAGTCACTGTTTTAACGAGGAGTGGGTAGGAGTCCGGGACCCCCACAGTGACCATCCTTCGCTCTATAATTTAGTTGTCCCTTTTGAACCTAGGACCAACTAGGTTGGGTATCCACTATAGAACTTTTCAATTCACGGGCTTTAGTCCCATTCCTCGTGACAACTTCTCCAACAATTCTCTATCCAATGCCTTGGTTAGCGGATCCGCTATGTTATCCTTTGACTTCACGTAGTCAACAGTGATAACACCCGTTGTGAGGAGTTGTTTAATGGTGTTATGTCTACGACGAACGTGTCTAGACTTACCATTGTAGAGATTGCTCTGTGCCCTTCCAATCGCCGCTTGACAATCGCAATGTATGCATATTGGAGGGACAGGCTTCTCCCAACTTGGAATATCCTCGAGAAAATGGCGTAGCCATTCAGCCTCTTCAGTGCACTTATCCAAGGCTATTAGCTCAGACTCCATCGTGGATCTAGCTATTAACGTTTGTTTTTAGGATTTCCATGATACAGTTGCACCTCCCAAAGTGAAAACATATCCACTTGTGGACTTAGAGTCCTTTATGTCGGATATCCAACTAGCGTCGCTATACCCTTCAAGTACAGCTGGATATCTTCCATAGTGCAGTCCAAGATTTTGGGTTTTACGTAAATACCTCAAAACCCTTATTATTGTCTTCCAGTGTTCATCACCGGGGTTGCTAGTATATCTACTTAACTTACTAACCACAAAGGCAATATCAGGCCTGGTACACTCATTAGATACATTAAGCTTCCAATAATCCTAGCGTATTCTACTTGAGAAATACACTCTCCGCGATTTTTGGTAAGTTGTACGTTTTTATCTAATGGAGTCCTTGCCTCTTGATAATCATCCTTATTAAATTTCGTAAGGATTTTATCAACGTAATGGGATTGGCTTAGCGTAAGACCGTCAGGTCCTCTAATTATTTTAATCCCAAGGATTAAATCGGTCAGCCCCATATCCTTCATGTCAAATTTAGAATTTAACATGCTTTTGGTAGAATTAATCATTAGATTATTGCTACCCACGATTAGTATATCATCCACGTATAAACATAAAATGACATAGCCGTCTACCGTGCTCTTCACATAGACGCATTTGTCACTTTCATTTATTTTAAACCCATTAATTAACATTGCATGATCGAACTTTTCGTGCCACTGTTTAGGGGCTTGTTTCAATCCATACAATGATTTAATTAATTTACACACTTTCCTTTCTTGGCCTGGGACACGAAATCCCTCGGGCTGTTTCATATAGATTTCTTCGTCTATATCGCCATTTAGAAAAGCGGTTTTTACGTCCATTTGATGAACTTCCAATTTTCGCAATGCGGCAATTGCTAGTATCATCCTAATGGAATTTATTCTCGTCACGAGAGAATACGTGTCAAAGTAATCATGACCCTCACGTTGCTTGTATCCCTTGATTACAAGCCTGGCCGTGTACTTATCGATGGAACCGTCAGGTTTCATTTTCCGTTTAAAAATCCACTTGGATCCCAAAGGTTTATTTCCCGGAGGAAGATCAACCAATTCCCATGTGTGATTTTTAAGGATAGAATCCATCTCACTTTTGATGGCTTCTTTCCACACAGGACCTTCAGTAGACATCATGGCTTCCGTATAAGTCCGTGGCTCATTTTCTACCAAACATGTTAGAAAATCCGGTTCATTTTCTACCATACATGTTAGAATATCCGATTCAACTTCTACCAGGTAGGTGAGAAAATCCGGTCTGAAGGATTTTTCAATTCTAGCACGTTTGCTACGTCTGGGTTCGGGTTCTTCTCTGGATCCCACGCTAGTATTTTCCATTGCTACGTCAAATGTTCGTTTTGACGTGCTAGGCCCTTCGTTGGACTTGCATGGAAATACATCCTCAAAGAATGA